GTGTGGCCACTGCTGACCCCTTTCTTGAACAATGGAGAGACACTGGGAAGTCATCACTAAACACACACACACACACACACAGGCATGTTATGGCTAGAGCCGCCACCGCCTCTGTGTCTCTTGACACCTGCTGGGACTGGGGAATGCTTCCTCCCCCCTTCCTCCCCCTTTCCTCCCCCCATCACCACCATCTCCACCATGGAGACTGTAAGTCTATAAAGGTAAGGAGATTGAGTGTGTACCCATCCATCGCATGCAAGACGGTGTACCTTGCATGTGTGTGTAGCTTGACAAGACACTTCTAATCTTTGACACATATACTGGTACAGAAAAGGCAGGTACAGTATGTATTGAAAAGGGAGGATGCATATCGGTCCGCTACACATTGGTATTGGGTGACTGTCTGGAGAGGCTGAGGGCCTTTGTTGCTAGGCAGGGGGACAGTTAAAGGGGCTGAGTTGTAGTTGAAGTGTTTATGATTTGGGAGATTATGTGTGTTTAACAAGTCTGTCCCACTTAGAAAGCTATGGGATGCATCCCAAATGGCACCCAATTCTCTATATAGTGCACTACTTTTCAAAAGTGCTGTAATATATAGGGAATAGGGTGCCATTTGGGACGCAACCAGGGAGTCTGGTGCACTACATGCATATGCCTGGCAGGTATTCTAATCCATTTAAAAGGGTGCTAATAACTGTAGCCCTTTCCTACAGTCAAATGACCTAGTGGCTTCATGGGTGGAATGTTATTCATATTTTTCAAACTTTCATAATTAATAAACATATGTATTTTTTTTAACACTGAAAATCCGGTGTTTCTATGTCAAACAGTTTTGTTATAATTCAGTCTACTGTGATGTATATAAAGTGTAATATTGGGATGCAAACTCAAAATGTAATACATTTCAACTCTATATCTGACATGGTACAGGTGTCTTCTTTTTTTAAAGCCCATAACCATGTGTGTGAGGTGTATACTTTTGTTTCAAAGTAGATTTGTTTCAGACTACCAAGAATCACTCTGTGTGACCCTGATTTTACATAGAGTAAAAGGCTAACAGTATCTGAACCCCCTCTCTCCCTCTCTGGTCTCTCCCTCTCTCCAAAACAACCAGGACCAGAGCCACCGCCACCCTGCCTGGACCCAGTTCACCCTGCCTGGACCCAGTTCACCCTGCCTGGACCCAAATCACCCTGCCTGGACCCAGTTCACCCTGCTTGGACCCAGTTCACTCTGCCTGGACCCAGTTCAGCCTGCCTGGACCCAGTTCAGCCTGCCTGGACCCAGTTCAGCCTGCCTGGAACCAGTTCACCCTGCCTGGACCCAGTTCACCCTGCCTGGACCCAGTTCACCCTGCCTGGACCCAGTTCACCCTGCCTGGACCCAGTTCAGCCTGCCTGGACCCAGTTCAGCCTGCCTGGCTCTCCTTGTCAGAGCCCCAATCAACAGATGGGCCCACTGGCCCCTGGAAGGCCTGGCCAGCTGTAGTGTAGCCAGGGTGACACCGCGCCAGCACCGAGGTATGCTAACGCCACTTCACACATAAAGGTTATGCTAATGTTATGCTACGCTATGTATCACTACATTCCCCTCAAGGTGAGGGACGAGGGGAGAGCTTCATTCAAAGGAATTCAGTCGGGGTCTCAACTTATTATTGAGAGTAAGAATAGTAGAATACACAAGGTGCAATTTCGACATTTGGTTGTACATCAGCAGTTTTTTCTCGTTATGTCAGCCACTGACAGTCACTCAATTAGCCCATGTCAGCTAACAATTTTTAGATTGGTAAGTTAGTCTAGTCAGCTATCTAAACTTGTAGTAATCATAGTCGAATAATGGCAAAATGTGTAGAATTGCAGGAAATTAACTTGAAAACTAAAATGTGTCTCTACACTCTGGCTTAGGGCCCCCAGAAGGCAAGGGCCGGCCAACACCCACTCCTACACTCTGGCTTAGGGCCCCCAAAAGGCAAGGGCCGGCCAACACCTACTCCTACACTCTGGCTTAGGGCCCCCAAAAGGCAAGGGCCGGCCAACACCTACTCCTGACCAACACCCAGGGGAAATACCCTGACCTCTCTCTCTTTCAATTCAATTCAATTCAAGGGGCTTTCTTGGCATGGGAAACATATGTTTACATTGACAAAGCAAGTGAAATAGATAATAAACAAAAGTGAAATAAACAATAAATATTAACAGTAAACATTACACTCACAAAAGTTCCAAAATAATAAAGACATTTCAAATGTCATATTATGTCTATATACAGTGTTGTAATGAATGCAAATACATTTAGTTAAAGTAAAAAACAGGAAAATAAATAAACATGAACATCTTTCTCTTCTTACCCATAATACATTATTTATGACATGTTGTTTCAATACAGCAATACAACTCTACAGGGAGACAATGCAGCCAATTTGACTCTATTTTCTAGGTGAATTACACACAATTGTAAAATCAATTTTACATGCTTAGGGTGTAAATAGTATTAGTTTTAAGGTATTGTTCATGGTCACTTCTGCTGCAGACATTTATTCTATAGAAACTAGAACGTCCAGCTGTGTTTCTCACGCGCATAAAAAACTCACAAAACTTTTATGTTCAGATTCGCTGACCAACAGAATGCTGTGTCAACTTGTTCCTACATGTCATTGACAGACTTACGACTCAGGCAATTGTTGCCTTTTCATGCCTTTATTTGATCTTACTCGGGTGTGTGTGTGTGTGTGTGTGTGTGTGTGTGTGTGTGTGTGTGTGTGTGTGTGTGTGTGTGTGTCCTACCAGCCCTGACTCAGTGCTCTGCACATGTGAACCGTAGTCAGACAGAAACAAAGTCTCATTCGACAGATGGCAGAGAGGTATAGAGCCAACCCTGCACCTGGTTCAGATGTGCTGGCTGGAATCTCAAACAGAACAGTGGGACAGACTACACTACAAACACAGGGGATTGTGGAGCTAATTGAAGCCCTTGTGTCCCCTTCCTGTTGTAGCCAGACCCTCAATTACAGACAGCCCTGAGATAGAAAGCCCTATTCTCCATTAAGGCTATACTGTCTGAGAGCGACACTGTCTGGAATTCAGCATGTTCTGCTTTAGCAGAGTAAGATTAAGTGTCCTCCACCAAAACATAAGGAAACTTTGGGAATAAACCTGCATTCAAAAATATATATAATTAAGAAAATAAGTCTCAGTATTTCAGTATGTGTGGATCGAGACAGTATGGGAAAATAATTCCTTGAAGCTCAATACCTTCAGAAACTAGTTAACAACCTTTCTCCCACTCCATTCTCACAGCCAGTTCTCTGTCCTAACAGGAGAGGTAATTACTGGGAGTGAAGGCTAACATGAAGATGAAAGGGTTAACTTAGGAGGGGTTAAACTTGGTGAAAACCACAAGAGGAATTTACCAAAAGGCCATGACACCTAAACCCTCCCTGGCCAACAACCATGGTGATGATGATGATGATATTGCGCTAGCTAGCTAGTCCTCAATCTGGCATAATTATAGCCCAAACTTTTCTTACAGTGTGTCATGGAGGGATGCATTTCAAAACCTCAGAATGTGTTTAGCATTTACAGCTGATGTTAAAATAGCAAAGCATCCGCCCATCCCCACCTGCTATATTTTGTTACTTTGCTTTTGCATTCGCTATATATATCCGTGATGCAGTTAAAGTAGGTCCATCATGGTACGTTGGACGAAGCGAACCATAACAAAACGAAAATCCAACAATCGATCTGTTTCAAAACTCTACAGTCTGTGTGTGATACACAAATGTGTAGAATATGTAGAATATACACATACTGAATTATACCTTGAAACCAAAATCCTATTTTATGATATACATGCTTTACTCAAATAGTTTAAATCTACTGACAATACAATAGAAAAGCTACTATATATAAACACTAACATCATAATCACTAACATCATAGAAAAGCTACGTTATATAAACACTAACATCATAATCATGCATATTAATTACTGTATACTGAAAACACCAACAGGATTGTCACGATAGAAATGCAACCTGTGTGGATAATTATGAAATCCAATAAGGTATGGTTCATATGACATCGGACCAAAAGTGAATTTTCAGGGGAATATAAATACACACAGCTACTGAAATCCAAAGCCTCCCAAGCAAAGGATCCCTAGAGAAGGTAAGGAATGGATCTGGCAGCAAAACGCAGAAGTCCATATCGGATGGTGATGACAAGTCAAACAGAAAATAGAATCCAAAAAATAGAAGCAATTAAAACAATTCTCCCTCCATGAGTATTTTGGATTGTGAAGAGAAACTTGCTAACTTCACTATGAAATAGTTATGTGTGTCTCAGAAGCCACACATTTCTGTTCCACTAACCTAGAGAAGCAATGAAGCAGGTCAGGACCTTAACAGTCACCTTGATCCTTACAAAACTGGTATTACAAATTAGTAGTTTCCTCTACACACAGGGTCAAAGGTTAATGCTATTCTCACTTATCTAGGATCGATTTCCATAAAAACTGACATATGGCTTGATGAATACTTGGAATGCCTTGGAGGCATTGAAGGTGGCGAATTTGGTTTCATGCTATCACTTCAAACACTGAAGGAAACCCAGGACAAAAACCACAAAGGAAAACACCCCATTGTCCATGATACAATAAAGTTCGGAGCTTTTTTAATTGCCGGGCGTTCCATCTCTTTCGCTCCTAACACACCCAGGGACACTGTTTGGCCCGTGTCCCCACTGACCTCTTCCACCCCTTCTTTAAACCTCCTTTAAACCTGCCACCCTCAGCAGTGAGGCGAGGAGAGACAAGGGGCTCTGTGCTAGCTGTCAGTCATGGCGACTGCCTTTAAGTCTTTGTGATGCAAACACTTTGGAGATTGACAGAGAGCAGGAAGATTCAATCTCAGAGAGACATTCAATTAAAAGAAGGCTGAAGCCTAAAGGAATGCCTACAGGCCACGTAGTAATGAGACACTACAACGTCAATGAGCATGAGGTTCAAAGATGAATAAAGAGGGTCTTACCGTTATCTTCTACGGTGAAGTAGAAGATATCACTTGTGGCGTTGCTACCATCAAGCAGCACGTAGCAAATCTTCATTTCGTCGATATCAGCTGATGACATGAAAGGGTGAATAGGAGAATCTCTACATTCTTTTGAACATCTGAGATGATTTCTCCACTTTTTACTGAAGGTTACTTAGAGCCCTCAGGCATCACTTTAGATGATGTCAAAGACAAAGGCATTACAATACTGATTCTGACAGGAGTGTGAATCCTGGGCTTACTGATATTGTAAACATAATTTTCCCAAAGTACAGAACTTAAATCAATTTAGAATAAAATGAATAAAAGTATGTTTGTCAGATTTTAATTGTTTTGATTGTTCGTTCACTTTTTCCAAATTTTTATATATATGTAATAGTAAATGCTAGTCTTACCTTGTGTGAAGGCCTTGATGCTGTCATTGCCCAGCGCGTTGTTCATGATGAAGCCGTGCAGTGGGGCCTCGGCCACGGAGTACTTGAGGACTTTGTGAGGGCTGTCTCGATCCTCGGACTTCAGGGCCTTGCTGGTGATCAGGAAGCCAAGGTGGCCGGTATGCAGAACCCTTAGCGAGGGGGCAGCCTTGTTGACCACAATCTGGGGGACCCCGTTGTCAATAGTGCTGATGTGAATGGTCATCATCTGAGGCTTACGTGTCTCGTACACGGTATCAGGGAATACGTAGAAGTCGTTGTGTGTGCCGTCGGTGACGGTGAACGAGAAGCTGTCCTCATTGGACTCGGTGCCATCGTGCTTGTAGGTGATGAGGTTCTCATTCAGGTCCTGCTTGGTGAAGGTGTTGATTGGCTGGGTGCCATTGAACAGCAACTGGCCATGAACCGGAACCTGGGTGACCACAAAGCGCAGCAGGTTGTCTGGGGTGTCACGGTCCTCCACGGTCAACTCGAATGGGGTGATGAGCTTGTTCTCGCCCTCTCCCAACAGCAGCTTGTGGACGCTCAGGACAGGTTTCTTGTTGTCCACGTCCGTGATGGATACTCTGAAGGTGCGGAAGACGGGGTTGTAGCCGTCCGTCACCTCGAACTCAAAGCTGTCCATCTTCATCTCATCGTCAGATGTGTGGATGTAGTAGATCTTGTTGCCGGCCAGCTGCAGCTGGGTGAAGGTGGAGATGGGCACACCTGGGAGGTCAGTGCATTCAAGATGGCCTCTGCTAGGGGCACGTGTGATGCTAAAGCTGAGGAACTCATCTGGGCTGTTGATGTCAGTGGTGCTGAGCAGGTCAGTGGTGAGGGTCACTTTGCCCCCTTCTTTTAGAGTCACACCTTTGTTGATGACATCGGGGAAGACCATGTCGATGCTTCCGATGTTGATGTAGAAGTATCGGTCGATAAGGGGGTTAATGCCGTCGGTAACGTCAAACTTCAACAGGTCGCGTACACCCTCCTGGCCCGTATGCACATACTGGATCAGGTTTTTGTCGACTTCGTCTTGGGTGAAGTTCATGTCGAGGGTGATGTTGCCTACAACGTGTCCAAACTTGGTGATACGCTGGAGATAGCCTTGGCTTGGGCCATAGCGCACAACGTAGATGAGCTCTTTGTCTTCCGAGTCCAGATCAGTAGCCTTCATGACCCTGTTGTTGATTATTTTGGTTTCTCCGATCTCAACCTCCAGTCCGTCATTGATGGCCATTCTCGGTGTCTCGTCATTGACAGGAATCACCATGATGAGAATCTTTTTCTCCACTGTGTGTTTCCCGTCTGTGAGCCTAACGTCGAAGCTGTCTTCTTTGGTCTCTGAGTCGTCGTGTTCATAGACGATGTTGGAGGCCTCATTGATCTGTTCCAGGGAGAACTTGACAACAGGGACTGTGCCCGTTGAAAGCTGCTGAACTATCTTGCCATGCTTGGGGTTCTGTATGATCTCAAACTCCAGTTCGTCCCCTGGAATGTCTGCATCAGCCGCGTTCAGGATGGGTGTGTCAATGACCAGACTCATGCCCTCCATCACGACAAACTCACGGATGAAGATCTCTGGTTTCTCATCATTGGCAGGGATGATGACGATGGGGAAGAAGTGGCGATCAGAGAAGTTGATGCCGTCAGAGCAACGGAAGGTGAACCTGTCTTCCACAGGCTCCACACCTTTGTGGATGCTCTGGACGTAGTAGATATGACCGAGGAAGACATCTTTGAAGCTAAAGGCGGTGATGGCGGTGCCTGCTCTGGACTTCTCAGAACCTGGAGCTGGGGAGATATTCTCCACGTACCCGGATGTTGATTGGACGATGATGGTGCACAGGATGTCGTCATTTTCTGTGTCCATATCCTCAGCCATAATGTGATCCAGAGTAATGACGTTCTTCTCCCCTTCTATCACCACAAACTGCTCCCCAACGCTGACGATAGGTGGGATGCTGTCGACGGGCAGGATAGTGACGAGCACCCGGACTCCTTGGACCTTGTTGCCCCCGACAACCCATTCATCGGACATGTCGGAGATGGTGAGGTTGAAGGAGTCATGCTCTTTGAAGGATCCGATCTCACCACTAGTGTGGGCATATACCACCATACCGTTGATGATGTCCTGTTGGGTGAACCTCTCGGCGCGGGCACCGCTCACTAGGATCTCACCGAGCCTGGGGGGCTCCTCAACGATGAAGGTCAGCATGAGGTCGTCAGTGTCTTCATCGCGGCCCTGGATGACGTTGCTGGTGATTTCAGTTGCCCCGTTCTCCAGGACATCGATGGATGCCCCTAGGAGGCCGGCAGGGAGCATGATGGTGGGGGTCTCGTCATCAACTGGGTTAATGGAGATCTTGATGATGATAGGTACCTCATGGAAGCCGTCGCTGACGTCACACTTGATAACGTCGCTGAGGCTTTCCTCCCCGCCGTGGATGTAGGCAATACGGCCATTTTCGATGTCCTCCAGGACGAATGTCTCACTGTTCGACATATCGATCCCTAAATACTGCAGCTGCCCATAGCGGGGAATCTGGGTCACAGTGAATATGATATTTTCATCTTCTGTGTCCTGGTCGGTGGCATCGAGCTCGTTCTTAGTGATGATGTACGTGCTTCTCTCCTGACAAGTGAAACCAGTGTTGGTGATAAAGGGGGGCTTGTTGTCAACGGGCTGTAAGAAAATAGTGAATAGTCCATCTACTGAATTCCCAGCAGTGTCCTCCACAATGAATGTGAACTGAAGGACTTTTGGAGTGATGCCCAGTTCCTGGTCTGGGGGCTTGTAGGCCACTTTGTGGTGGTTGACCTGGGCCTGTGTGAACTCACTGATCACTGAGTCGGGACTGTCAGTCAGAACAATATCACCCAGGGGGGCCGGGTTGTTCTCATCTGTGTCAGTGGGGGGCTTGGTGACGGTGTATTTCAGATCCCTGTCATCCGAGTCCAGATCTGTGTAACGCAAAAACGTCTTCTTGAAGTGGGTCAGCTCATACTCTTGCACTGTCATGTGAAGCGTGGTCTCTGGGTAGAGCTCTGGTGGGAGGTCATCCACCGGGTGGATTTTAATGGTGAAGGTATGCTCACCGGACTGGTTTGGTGGGTTATTGTCGTCTTGGACGCGGAACACAAACTGATCCATCACAGTGGTGGTGCTGTGAGGCCCAATGTGGCGGTAGAAGAGCTTCCCATCTAGAATGTCCTGCTGGAAACATTCGGTCACCACCTGTTCAAACATCTCATCTGTCTCACTGAACTTCCAGAGAGAGGGGTCAGAGGGAGGCTCCACCTGTCTGAGGAGAAGCTCCCCCACAGTGGAGTATGGGGCCTCAAGGATGAATTTAATGGTAGAGTCCTCTGAGTCTATGTCTGTGGCGCTCAGAATGAAGGGGGAAATCTGCATGATTTCATTCTTGAAAAGCACCAGGCCGGTGTTTGCATTGATAATAGGGGGTTCGTCGTCGGTGGGGGCTATAGTGATAGGGAACAGAAACTCAACCTCATTGCTGCCATCAGTCATTCTAAAAATGATGTTGTCGCTGTAGGTGTCACTGCCGTCGTGCTGGTAAACCACGATGCCGGCATCTAAATCAGCAGGTGTGAAGAATTTCCTGCGCGAGCCGAGCACCGTCAGCTCGCCATGCTTCAAGCCGTCCACCACTGTGATTTTCACATCGTCCAGGTTATCTTCATCACTGATCTCTAAGTTGTGAGAGCTGGAAAGAGATCTGGACTGGCCCTCAAACAAAAGCTGCCCTGTGTTCTTGGTTGCTACGGGAGCCAGAGTATTCATAGGCTTCACCACAATCATAAAGGCAAATGTATCAGAGACGGCACCCTCTGTATCTACAATTTCAAACTCGAGCTGGAAAATCCTCTCTACTTCTGAATCCTCGGATGGAGGCTTATAGGCTATCTTCAAATCTTTCATGTCTCTCTGGTAGAACGAGGTGATGGGGAGGTTCTGATCATCTGTACTGATGATGTAGCCTTGCTGATGGCCCAGGGGGGACGTAATGTTAAAGATTAAGTCGTCTGGATCAGATTCAACGTCCTCGGCAGCCAACATATCACTGGTGATAGCTGTCATCACAAACTGATCAATCTCCATCATCATCATAGCAACAAAACTAGGCTTAGGAGAGGTGTTCTCTGTGCCCTCTCTGATTCTAACCATGATCTGGAAATGCTCCTGCATGATGGTGTTTCCCTCATTATCCTGCAGCTCTACCAACATGGGGATATAGTCTCTGTTAGGAGAGTTGGTGGTGGATGTGTGCTTGTAGCGAATGCCTTGCTTAAGAAACTCACCACAATCCATCATCTGGCCATTAGTGGAATTATTTAAAAGGGTGCCATACCTGGGGAGACCGCCGGCGCCGACCAGCGTGGCAACCTTGCACTGAGTGACGCCGTCCTCAAAGGAAAACTCCAGGCCCTTTTTGTCGATGGGGTTGCTGTTGCCGTTGAGCTTGTCCACAGCCAGGGGCATGTTCCTGGTGAGGACCTCCAGCTGCTGGAAGACCACCTCCACCTCCAGCATGAAGGGGATGACCACCGTGTCCGTCTGGGAGTCGTAGCGCAGCTGCAGCTTCACCCTGTCTTTACTGGGGCTCCGGGAACCAAAATGAGTGTATTTCACCTCATCATCGCCAAACGCACAGGGAAACTTCTTAGGGCTAAGCATTCCGGGTTTTTGGGCCAGTGGATCATTCTCCAGGACCGTGATGGAGCAGCGGTCTCCGGGCTGCACCTCGGTCACCAGGTCATTGACAGGGTCCAGGTACACAGACCTCCCGAAGGGAACACGGAGGCCATTGTTGGCCACGATGATGCTGTCAGCATTAGGTCCTTGTCGTTGTCGATAGAGGAACGCCGGGTCGAATTGGTGGGGCTCCGCGTCCACAGAGGAAAAGCAGAAGCCCAGAGTGAAAAGCACAAAGAGGCATCTCAACAAACGTGCCTGCCCTTTACAAAGTCCTGTCCTTTGCAGACAACCAGCCATGTCAGCTGCCAGTTGCCCTGCAACTTTTTATAACTCAGGAGAAATAAATGTCCTTCAGATCAAATCTCTCCAGAGAAGAAAAAATATTTGAAAAAGTAAACCCCAATCTGGTAGTTGAAAAGTTGAAGCTTGGGTCTCTTGTTCTCTCTCTCTCTGCTCCCTCTTTCTCTCTCTCTGTCCACACACACACTCACACAGGACAAGTGTAGTTGATCTTATGGTGCAGGTAATACTGAAGCAGTAGACAGTGACAGCGCCCCCAGACTCCTCCCTCTGACAACCCGGAGAGAATGCCTCCTGCCTCCAACAGCTAATTTAAGAAAGCACATTGGACAGCCCCTCCAGTACCCCTGCCCATCCCCTCCCCTCCCTCCCTCTTTCCTCCTGCCTATCCCCTCCCTCCCCTCTCTCGTCCTCCTGCCTATCCCCTCCCCTCTCTCTCCCCCCTGCCTACCCCCTCCCTCCCCTCTCTCTCCCCCTGCCTATCCCCTCTCTCACTCTCTCCCCCTCCCTCCCCTCTCTCTCCCCCCTGCCTATCCCCCCTCCCCTCCCTCTCTCTCTCCCCCCTGCCTATCCCCTCCCTCCCCTCTCTCTCCCCCCTGCCTATCCCCTCCCCTATCTCTCTCTCTCCCCCTGCCTATCCCCCTCCCTCCCCCTCTCTCCCTCCCCCCTGCCTATCCCCTCCCTCCTCCCCATTTCTCTCCTCCCCTGCCTATCCCCTCCCTCCCCTCCTCTCCCCCCCTTGCCTATCCCCTCCCTCCCCTCGTCTCCCCTTCCTATCCCCTCCCCTCCCTCTCTCTCCCCCCCCCTGCCTATCCCCTCCCTCCCATGCCTCTCTCCCCCCTTCCTCTCCCTCCCTCTCTCATCTCCCCCTTTCCTATCCCCCTCCCTCCCCTCTCTCCTCCCCCCTGCCTATCCCCTCCCCCTCCCTCTCTCTTCTCCCCGCCTTCCTCCCCCTCCTCTCTCTCCCCCTGCCTACCCCCTCCCTCCCCTCTCTCTCCCCCTGCCTATCCCCTCCCTCCCCTCTCTCCCCCCCTGCCTATCCCCTCCCTCCCTCTCTCCCCCCTGCCTATCCCCCCCTCCCTCTCTCCCCCCTGCCTATCCCCCCCTCCCTCTCTCCCCCCTGCCTATCCCCTCCCTCCCCTCTCTATTCAAATAAAATAAAATAAAATTGCATTTGTCACATGCGCTGAATACAACAGGTGTAGACCTTACAGTGAAATGCTTACTTACAAGCCCTTACCAACAATGCAATTTTAAGAAAGAATACCCAAAAAATAAAAAAAATACATAAAAAATATAAAAATGCCTATCCCCTCCCAGCCTTCCCTCCTCCTCTATACCCCCCCAGCCTTCCCTGTCTCAGCCCCCCATCCTCCTCTGCCCCACAACAAACTACCTTACCCAACTCCCCCTCTCCAAAAGGAACCTAAATCATCAGTTGAAGACCTCCCAAAATGCTGTGTCCAGGTTTTCAAGACAACACATGCAGAATTGGCTTTAATGTGCCTATTTGACAAAGCCTTAAACATAATACAGACTCATCATTGCATCTTTTAGGTTACGGCTCTAAGACTGTAGAAAATGTTGCAGCATGTTTCACAATAATTTCTTAGGGTTTGTTTCTCTTGCATGACTTTGTTTAATACTGCTGTTCATTATTGTCTACAGTCTAAACCAGTTATTTTTTTTATTAAACTATGGGTCGGGACCCAAAGTGGGCCCTGGGCATGTATGTGAGAGGTGGGTCGCGGGTTATGAAAATACATCTATAATCACACACTATTTCTTCTTAATTTGGGTCGTTGGAGGACGATTTGGGTCACGGGAGGAACGTCAATTTCTCATTTGGGTCTCGCGCTGAAAGAGTTTAAGAACCCCTGGTCTAAACATATTGTTATTAGACCTCTTTACATAAAGACAGTTTGATTAATGCATGTTTACTTTGAATGAGACTTAGATTAAGGAGGATATGATGTGATGATTGTGTGAGATTAAGGAGGATATGATGTGATGATTGTGTGAGATTAAGGAGGATATGATGTGATGATTGTGTGGAGTATTATGTTAAATATTTCAGATTCAAACACCAGTGCTGATTTAGAGGTTTGCTTTCATTGTGCATTAAGCATGATCAAACACTGAACAGGAGCTTTTAAAGTGCAAGGTCATGGCACTATGGAACACTGACGATAGTGCCCTCTATAGGGTAACCTGATGCAGGTTACAAGAACTACGGATATTGAACTAAATTCCAACCAAAAGATAACCAAAATAGAAAACAAAAATTCACGTTTAGTCAGTTAACATTATCAGTTAAATATGAAATGCAAAAAACAAAGTAATAAGAGTTTTAAAATATCACATACACAAAGTTTCCCTCAGGGTATTAGTATTATAAAACATAAACAATGTGTATTTCATGGTCAGATACTATGTGCTATAGGTACGCAGGTAACCTGTCCCATTAGTTTCAGAGACACTTTGAAGTCAACTCGGTGCTCTGATAGGCTATATCATCAGCGATCGCCATGGTAATTTCACATTGTGCTTCACGTGAACAGTGGGGTCTTTCAGAAGGGCCAGGCGAATGCTAATGAACCATGACATCTCTCTTATCATACTGCGGCCTGACAGACAGGGAATACCCAAAGCCAAGGTCAGTAACGTAACATCCTGTTCCTCCCCTCCACTCTGTTCTTGTGTTCAGGGGCCCTGGTGTATCTCCACACCACAACCCCTCATACCTTGGAGTTAACAAGCTTTTATTCTATTTTTCGCTGCATGGGATGATATTTGATAAGGTTTAGAATATCATCATACAAATAATTCATGTTTAACGCAGCAGAAAACACTCGACAACATATGCACAAGAAAAACCTTTGTGTTGTTCCCAAGACATCCTATACAGTGCATTCGGAAAGTATTCAGACCCCTTGACTTTTTCCACATTCAATTGTTTTTTCCCCTCATCAATCTACACACAATACCCCATAATGACAAAGCAAAAACAGTTGTACAGATTTTTTTGGAAATGTATTAAAAATAAAAAACGGAAATACAAGTATTCAGACCCTTCACTCAGTACTTTGTTGAAGCACCTTTGGCAGCGATTACAGCCTCGATTCTTCTTGGGTATGACGCTACAAGCATTTGGGGAGTTTCTCCCATTCTTCTCTGCAGATCCTCTCAAGCTCTGTCAGGTTGGATGGGGAGCGTCGCTGCACAGCTATTTTCAGGTCTCTCCAGAGATGTTCGATCGGGTTCAAGTCCGGGCTCTGGCTGGGCCACTCAAGGACATTCAGAGACTTGTCCAGAAACCACTCCTGCGTTGTCTTGGCGGTGTGCTTAGGGTCGTTGTCCTGTTGGAAGGTGAACCTTCGCCCCAGTCTGAGGTCCTGAGTGCTCTGGAGCAGGTTTTCATCAAGGATCTCTCTGTACTTTGCTCAGTTCATCTTTCCTGACAAGTCTCCCAGTCCCTGCCGCTGATAAACATCCCTACAGCATGATGCTGCCACCACCATGCTTCACCATATGGAGGGTGCCAGGTTTCCTCCAGACGTGACACTTGGCATTCAGGCCAAAGAGTTCAATCTTGGTTTCATCAGACCAGAGAATCTTATTTCTCATGGTCTGAGAGTCTTTAGGTGCCTTTTGTCAAACTCTAAGTGGGCTGTCATGTGCATTTTACTGAGGAGTGGCTTCCGTCTGGCCACTCTACCATAAAGGCCTGATTGGTGGAGTGCTGCACAGATGGTTGTCCTTCTGGAAGGTTCTCCCATCTCCACAGAAGAACTCTGGAGCTCTGTCAGAGTGACCATCAGGTTCTTGGTCACCTTCCTGACCAAGGCCCTTCTCCCCCGATTGCTCAGTTTGGTCGGGCAGCCAGCTCTAGGAAGAGTCTTGGTGGTCCAAACTTCTTCTGTTTAAGAATGATGGAGGCCACTGTGTTCTTGGGGACCTTCAATGTTGCAGAAATGTTTTGGTACCCTTTCCCAGATCTGCGCCTTGACACAATCCTGTCTCGGAGCTCTACGGACAATTCCTTCGACCTCATGGCTTGGTTTTTGCTCTGACATGCACTGTCAACTGTGGGACCTTATATAGACAGGTGTGTGCCTTTCCAAATAATGTCCAATCAATTGAATTTACCACAGGTGGACTCCAATCAAGTTGTAGAAACATCTCAAGGATGTTCAATGGAAACAGAATGCACCTGAGCTCAATTTCGAGTTTCATAGCAAAGGGTCTGAATACTTATTATTAATTTTTTTATAAATTTGCTTTCGCTTTGTCATTATGGGGTATTGTGTGTAGATTGATGAGGAAAAACATTTATCTGATCCATTTTAGAATAAGGCTGTAATGTAACAAAATGTGGAAAAAGGGAAGGGGTCTGAATTCTTTCCGAATGCACTGTATGTAGTCCTCCATATGACCCCTGTGTAATAAATGAATTAAGGGAGAGGTTTTTATTCGTAACATGAGCCATTTCTTTACTATATCCTTCATCACTGGGAAATAGAAATGGACAACAGTAAAGATGGATCAGTTTAAAAAATGGATGTTCAGCCCCTCAGTCCACTCAAACAGTACACATTGGCCTAACTCAACATTAACACTCAGTTCAACAAAATACATTTTCAAACTGCAACTGTCAACAGCAAAACAAAATGGCACCAGGTATACAGGCCTGCAGGACAAATATTGAAAGCCTCAATAAATTAAACAATGTGACGTGTGTGACCTGGTCATGTGGCGGTTTATGGTCTGTTCACGGGGTTGGTGCCCTTTAGGGTCAGGTCTCTGGGACACCCCGGCACCAAACTCCCCTCGATCACACACTGAGAACCACCCAGCACCTGGCATCAGCTGGCCTAGCAGGACAGGGGGGTGACAGTGACACTGAGACACTGGTCTCATCCCCTAACAAACCCCTTCCCTTAATGACACTAGACTAGAGACAGCTTATGTTACAATCAGACACATACAGTAATCAAAAATACATTTCAATC